AAAAGGCCTGTCCCACAGCACTTATCTGTTGAGAGTTAATTGTGAGGTCTTAGAGTGTCTCCCAGGCCCTCATGATGCTGTGCATTCCCACAGAATACTCACTGCCATTGCTGAGTGTGTTGCCCCAGCCAGAGATGAGGCACGTGGTGCCTGCGGCCACACAGCTGCTGGGCAGAGGAACTGGTTGGATGGGCTGGTGTGGCAAGCTTGATGAGCATAATGTCATTGTTCAGTGTTGAGGAGCTGTAGTTAGGGTGGCGGATGATTTTAGCTGCACTAATCAACTGCTGCGACGATTCTGTGAGCGCCAGGTTATGTTTCCCGAGCTGCACTTGGATACGACTGGAAAAGAGAAGGAATATCATATACTTTACCACTACCAACAGGTTATGAAGAACTTCCCTGTCACCGTATGCACTGGCTTTAACATCACTATTGTAAGTGGCTCTTTTCATGCAGATTATCTTTCGTATCTTACAATAAGTCCTGGGGATCCACACTGAGTTCTTATTCACTCCCAGTACAGCTGGTGAGTTTCTGCAGGTTTTTTTGTTGAGATGGGATAAGCTGAATGTTTTATAAAAACATTCTGAAAAAGGCAAACCGCTACCGCCCTGACCTCATTCCTCTTCCTGTTCTCCAATGACTAAATTTTAGCAAGATTAATGGAATTTATAAGAAAGCGCAGCCTTTGACTTCTTGCTGATTATCACAATGTCATTTCAGAAAGTACCCTGCGTTCATAGAAGCATTTGCAGGGGTGGAAGACCCCTTATGACGCCTCAGCCCAGCTTCCTGAATGAGCCACCTATTCCTTGGTTGTCTCCTGTCTGGACAGAGTCACTTGTGTGTTTGGATGTCACAGCTCAGAACTCCTGCCAGAGGTGAACTGGAAGAAAGAAATAGGTTACAGAAGAATAGAATATTTTTTTCACTCACGACTTGTAGCAGTGGGCAGCTGACAGGACCCACTGGCTGTTGATGAGGGAACCTCCACAGAAGTGATACCCAACATTCAGGGACACCTGATAGGGGACAGAGTTCGCTGCACAGGTGTAGCCTCCCACGATCTTATCATCATCATCATCAGCGTTGATGGGAAAGGCAACTGGGAGATAAGAAGTGGCATATGTCTGCATCTGGCATGAGGAATCTTGTGCCCCTGTGACTGAGTGCAGCATCTCACTTACAGGCTCTATTTCTACAGGAAAAATCACAGGAGCAGTGCTGGGCAAGCACTCGCCCATCATCCTAAGATTTACAGCCACTTTAGGACTTCCCGGGCCAGAGGTGTTATCTTTGTACTACGTAGACCTTAAGAGAGAGACGGTCTTTTTTTTGAATCCATGGACACATCTTGGTATTCCTGGGTCAAGAACCCCTGTGAGGGCCTTCATTCCCCATTTTGTGAC